TTCCAGGCTTATTGCTTCAACTTACAAGTAAACGACCACTCATCTAATCATTTGTTGCGACTCAACACCACTATTACATTTACTGACACAACACTAAAGTCAACTCTGAAGATGTTCTTTGCAATATAATCGCCTAAGCGTCGTTCTCAGTGCTTCTACTGTTTATTCGACTCTTAGGAAACCAGATTATTCGGTGGTTCTTTCCATTACACTGGCACAATATATCGATGCATCAAATACCCACGTCCACTTGTCCACAGTTTATGTGCTAACTCTGGAGGCATTACCTGCTCAAATCATTTTACTTCTTCTTGTTAATAGCGGAAGCTCAACCTATTAGCTTTTGGCTCGTCTATTCCCTGCGAGACTACGAATGTCAAAGAAATACTGAATCCGTCTTTTGCAAGACCATTGCAACCTTTCCCAGACAAAGACAGACCATACTCCATTACTAAGGTGTTTAGAAGATAGCAAAATGAATGTCATTGTATTCTAAATCTTTCTGTTAATAGGCCTTTATTTACTATTCGACATATTGAGGTGTAAGCCTCCACGGTCAGATAATGAAGTGAAATTTCATCCAAAAGCAACTTTGAATTACTTCTACAGACAAAAATGTGACTTTACTAGTACTACAAGTAGAATGAACTTAACTTCATTCAACCACCGTGGAGTATGGAATCGTGGAGAAGTGAACAGATTCTTGCGATGTAACTGAGAATTCTCTTGAATCCAGATATGAAGTTTTGAGTAACGACATTCTCATACAAGCAATAGCTGGGAATCCTAACGCCTAACAAACACATCCTCACAGCTGATATTTTGCTTTTCAAACAAACCTTGACATATTTTAATTAGTAACTTCATTTCACTGGATTTCATTGCGAATCCAGTCATTGGTAATTGCAAACACACCTCCATGCTTCACTTCACATGCACTCGATCTTCCCTTTGCTGCAGTGGAATTAACACATATGTTCCCATTCTCGCCCTTGTTGCTGCAGAATCAAATGTCATGGTATTGAAACGCTCTTTACAATTCTGGCATTTCGTTTTTGTGTCACTGAATACTCAGTGGACAGTATGCAAGGACTTGCTGCATTACATTGGATAAATAGAAATGAGGACAAGCCATAGTAGTGAGGTGAAGGAGTGCGTCCGTGGTGAACAGTCCTTGTATACAGACATGCATTCGAGCATCCATTTGTCAGTTACTGTCTATTCTGCTGTGTCCCTGTGCGAATTCCCTACAACTGTGCTTAGACGAGGCGGAGATGTATCACAGTGTTACCTGAAAGAAAGCTGGGAGGATGTGGCTTGAACGATGAAGGATGGAGCACAGGGAGCACACATCCTTCTTCCAACCCATTTTGCCGCCTCATGACCACATGAACAAAGTTAAAACAGCCATAAAAACTTGTGGGAACATTGCTAAGACTGCCGGACTGCTGACATTTGGTTTGTTGATTCGTCTTGCCC